AGGGGCAAAGACACTGTGCTTAGTGGGTTAGTAGATTGAGAAGTGCCTCATTTTTAGCAACAACCCATGAGCCTAGCAATGGAAGCCCAGGTATATCCCATGGTCCCACTGACACCCATTCACTGCCTCTCCTGAGAATGCTAAAAGGGGAGGTGTAAACATAGCTTCTTCCCCCTCAAAGGTGCTGAGCCCTGATGACCCATCCTCTCCCCCTCTCCAGACCGAAGCACAAGCTGCAGGCGCACGTATACGACTGCATCCAGCCAACCCTGCGGGGAAGAAGAGACTGGTTGCCGTGGAGATGCGCCATGAGCTCATCTTCCCCAGCTGAAGCAAGAGTTGGGACAGATTTGTGCTTTATGGGCCACGACAATGAACCAGGAACCCCCTGTGGCTCCCAGCGGCCGAGCAGGGTGGGAGAGGCCTGCTTTCTCCAACCCCCAGACCTGCCACTCCAAGGATGTGGAAACAACTCCCACTCGCCCACCGCACCCTTCCTAAGTGTCTCCTCTGGCAGCAACATGCTCAGCACCTCCTGAGGGGTTCTAAGCAACCACAATTCCCATTGACTTCAAGGGGAGTTGAGGGTCCTCAGCCCTTCAAACGATCTGGACTCTAAACTGCTCCTAAATTGCATCCACCAAATGCACTTGCACATGTCAACGGTCAATTGCACCTGATTAAAATATGCAGCTGTCTGTGCATTTTTAACAGGCACAACTTAGGCACGGCTTTTTGAAGACAGGACCCTTAACCCCAGCTCCTGGGCCAAGCTTGTGTCACCCTTACACACCCCTTATTCCACAAAGAGCCCCGTTGACTTGAATGGGACCTTTCATAGAGGAAAGAGCTATTCGATGGAAAAACTTCACAATCTCTGCCGATAGTTTCTGGAAACAAACTAAAAACATCCTCCCGTGGAATGGGTGACCCATCGGCGACGTCACCCACTGGGTAACTAGTACTCATTTATTAAAGTCCCTAAATACAAATTAATCTAATCTAGAGCCTCCGCTCCTAGAGAGTAAATGCTGAGCCTGATGGGCTTAGTGTGGGCCAGTGAACAGGGAACCAGGCTAGAAACCACAATTCCTGCCTCGTGTTCCAGGCTCTGCCACTGACTCACCCTCCTGTAACTTAGGATTTAAAATAAAACATTCAAAGAGATCCTTTTCACCCTGCCGCCTCTCTCCAAATTTGCTTGTGGCGTAGTTAATTCAGCCCTGGCGTAAGAGGGGGCGTGACTCCACAGCCATCCATGGAATACTGCTCAGTTTGGCTCAGTGATCTGAGAACTGGCACACTGCACACCAGCCCGGAGGGAAATTTGTACGGCTAAATTATAAAGCTCTGATAATAGTGTTTACAGTGCAAATGTTGACAGACCTACCTGACAGCCAGTGTATCCAGAGGGAGGGTGTCTCTGTAGTGATGCTTTGTTGATAGCCCGCAGTGATGTCTCATTTCTTCTTCCCCAGGCTGCTAACACCTTGGTTAGCTTTCCTGTAAACTACTGCAGCCTCTTCCTTGATGGCCACACTGTGTCTCGCCTCTCACTCTTCTAGGCCATTTAGAACATATTGCTAAAACCATATTCCTCTCCTGCTGCTCCCACCACAGCTCCCTCCATGCACACATCACACCTTCTTCAGTGACACATGGAAAAGCACCTATTCGTGAGCACCTCCATCCCCATCTCCCCACAGGTGGGTCCTGGTTGTGATCTGCCTTACACCAGTGAAACCCCGTGGACTTCCGGGGAGTTATTCCTGATTTACACTGGTAGGAGATGACAATCAGGCACATGGTGTGTGCTGCTATCTATTATTCACACTCCAGTAGTGTCTACAGGTCCCATTTACGGATCCGGGCCGCCTGGTGCTAGGGACTCTGTACACGTGTAGCAAACAGATAGTCCCTCCCCCTAGAGAGCTCACGCTTCTGTGGCTGAATTTGTTATATCATGTATGTTGTCTGAGTGAGGCCCGGCTCCTGCAATGTGATGCGGACAGACCCCTTTGCACCAATTGACCTCAGCTTAAAGGGTTGGGGCCTTAGATAGTAAGCTTCTTCAGGGAAGCTACCTTGTCTTTAAAGTAGTGTGTGTCCCTCTCCGGAGCTCTGAAATCAAACACTGATAAAGTATTACACCCACCATAAGAGAAGTTCCTTAGAATCCATGATACACTCATTAGGCAGACTGCTATGGACCTAATCCAACACCTGTTGCAGTGAGTGGAAAGGTTCCCATTTACTTCAGTGGGCATGGATTGAGCCCTCCATCTTTTCACATGCTTTTATAGCAACCGAGAAGTGAAGTGTGCCTCTACCTTCTGGTTTACATCTCGCCCAGTATTGGATTCAATTATCATTATTCAGCGACGGGACCTAAATGAGCACTTCAGAAATGCCGCCTACAACGCAGGGCTAAGTGAACAAATGATACTACCATTAAAGTTCTGTCGTTTCCTGCTGTGTAAGTCAAATCTCCGAGCATTAAAAGCACCTCGGCACCATGCAGATTCACAGACAGTGACAATGATTTTCAAGTTCTCTGGCTTTTATCGTCTCGGGAGTTTTGTTCTGTTTCTGGTGTGCTTTAGTCAATTTTAATGCCTGAACCTACATAAGGTTTCAGGACTCTCTGAGGCTGTAAATTAGGCGGGCTGTAGTTGCTTAGTTCCTGGCAATGATAAAAGTTATTAGCAACCATTCTTAATTTTTCAAATTCCCGAGCAAGTTGAGTTCTCCTGAAAGTGGTAAGTTAATGCAATGAGCTGGGGCAGGGCTAGTGGCCAATGTATTCAAACTTCGGGTGCCTAACATTAGTCTCCTAGCATTTTATTGCTATCTGCTGCACTTGGCAAGTGGGCTCAGACCCATTACTCATCCCTTCGGAGTAGAAAGCATACTTGCTGTCACAAATCGTACATAGTACTTTGCATTCCTATAGTGCTCTTCATCTAAGGAGCTTAAAGTGCTTTTCAAACATGAATGAATGAATCCTCATAACTCTCCACTCAAGTATTATTATACCCATTTTACAGATAGGTAAACTGAGACAGTGAGATATTTAAGGTCAGATTCTGCCTCCCTTACTCAACACTGAATAGTACCTTATTCCATTCGTAGTCCCCTTTATTTTGATACTAGATACTACACAGTGCAAGTAATGGTGGAAGAATCTGTCTGTTAGGGATTTGCCCAAGGTCACATAAGCAGAAAGAGGCAGAGCAGGGAATCATCCAGGTGCCTACTCCCCCACCCCGCGCCCCCTGCCTTAACCATTAGATCACACTCACTCTCCTAGATCCTAATCTGAATTAATGGAAAGACATCCACTGACTTGAATGAACTTTGAATTTGGCCCCTATATTGTACAGTTAAGATATGGAGTAATAAACAAATGACTTATCCATAATGGGCTGGGCTTCTGGGGTTCTCTGAGCCCAATTTTCCATTGTTACCCATATGAAGTAATGGTTTACTCTGGGAGTAGTTTAATTTATTTCAATACGACTACTCCTAGAGTACATTACTACTCAGTCTGAGTAAACGGGGAAGAATCTGGCTTTATAGTAACTACTGGAAATTCAGCTCCTTTCTAAAGAATGGCCTAGACCCTATTTGGGATGTCTTCATACTCATATCCAGGTCAGCCATCTTGAATTTACTGTGATTGGATTATTGTGGTTATACTGAAATGTCACACACACAAGACAAGATTCAGACAATAAGACTCCTCTAAAATGATACTGTGGTGTAAATACACTTGTCAGAGAGAAAAAAAATACAATAGATCTGATGACTCGGTGTTCTGGTCTCTGATGTAACAGCAAAGTAGATCCCTGTTGTATTTAACTTGATTCCCCTGAATTAAACACTTCCATTAAAAGTTTCCCACAGTAGATTTAATATTTAATTATGTATTCCAACAAAGCAAAGATCAAAATCTCTGCAAAGGGGTTTTTTTGTATTAAATATTTATCAGCATATCTCTTTGGACTAGTTTTTCATCCCCGAGGAGAGAGCATTCCATATAGAAATCAGTTTCAAAACATTTTATTTTATAGCTTGAGAGTTTTCTCTACTTCAGCTCCTCTCGCAGTGATTTTGTCATATCACTTGGTAATTAATGGTAATTAAATCTCTTTTGGCCAAAAAGGTTGGAGGGCTCACGTTGCGTTGCAAAAACAATTTTTTAAAGTTACAAAAAAGTTCCAGGATCTTTCTCCTAATAGAAATTAAAGTGCAAAGTTTGCCATGTTTTGAGTTCAGATTCACAAGAAACAATTTATAGAGGATTGTAGGTTCCAGACAGAGTTGATAGACTGCCTATTTGAATAGACATAATTATGTCACTTAGTAGCCACATCCAGTATGCAGAATTGCATCCCTTAACAATGGACAGTGGATAGGTCTACTGTGGCCAGAAACTCCCTTGATCTTAATAATGGCTGTAGCAAATATGGAATAAACCAAATGATATTACTCACGCACAAAAAACTGTCTCACGTGAACATCTGAGCAAAGAGTTGTCAACTCTGTATTTGCTTAAAATAGGACATGGAGCTTCTTGTTATTCCTTTTTCCTTCTTTTCTGTTTTTCTCCTTCCTATTGGTAGATTTAAATTGATGGATAAACGGAATATGTGCTTGGGGTGGAGGTAGATAGAGGGTATATAGTTGTGCATATTGAAGTATTTTGGGTGTTACAATTCTAAATAAAAAGTCACAGTAATAAGGAAGAAATATCAGCATATGTCCCAGCTGTGCAGCTCCATGGACATGTGGTAATGCTGGTGCCATCAAGGGTGGAATTTAGCCCATAGTGTGTAAATTACAGCACTGGCTGCTCTAGAATAAGCTTCTTTTATGATAACAATGCAGTGATAGCAAAGAGAACATTTGATATGAGTTACTCTAAAACCATTCTCTGAAACACCCAAGAACGAATTTAGTTCAGCAGGAAAAGTGGGACATGATGAGATGACTCCAGTTTAGGCCATAACCTTGGGCGGCTGCTTGGTGAGAGCAAAGCCTCCCCCAGTGAAACGAGGAACGTCCATTCTCTGCGTTGGATACTCCTGCTCCATGTTAGCCAACACTCGCTCCTTATCCCTTTAGAGGAAACAAAGAGGGAAAGGAAAGGAAAGAAATGTTTTTCACTTTAACTATGCAACAGTGTTTTCAAACTAAGCAAGTCTGTGTCCTCCAAAGTGTCTGTGATGCAACCACTCTACCAAGAGATCATTAAAAATATGTTGATTAAAGCCTGTTAGGCTAAACAGCCAAGACTAGGTGTCTGTTTGGATCTAATTAAGCGACTACTGATGCTTTTCAGAATTATTAAAAATTAGAACTAAATGAGTTCTAATGTTAGCTGCCCAAAGTCGGTCAGAGAATCTCATTAGAACTAGAATAAGCGTGAGCTTTGTGACTTTGGGTTTCTAATCATCGCCCCGTTCTAGCAAGTCCTCATTTGTTTTCAAACAAACAGCTAGATTCATCAAAGGCAGGATGGGGAGATATTTTTCCTTTGTTGAATTTTAATGAATAAATAGTGTTATCTGTCTTCAAATTTTAACAAAGTTCCAGTTATAATTACCCAGCCTGTTGTATTTGCAGAAAACCAACACTATATCTGTGGAGCATCTATAGCCTCAAGAACTTGCTCCATCTGAGGATCCAGAGCTTGAATGTGGTGGCCTTAAGAGAATGGAGCAATGTTTAGATGTTCACTCTTCAATAGGTCTCGGGGAGGGAGAGGGGCGCAGGTATCCAGAGTAGAATAAATATAAAGGGGCAGCATTTTCGATTTTCTGAGATACACCTCAAGGATTCAGAGACAGGTCTCAGAAATCACAGAATCATAGATTCATAGTGTTAGAAGGGACCGCAAGCGTCATCTAGTCTAACCCCCTGCCAAGATGCAGGATTTGTTGTGTCTAAACCATACAAGACATATGGCTATCCAACCTCCTTTTGAAAACCTCCAGTGAAGGAGCTTCCACAACCTTCCTAGGCGTCTGTGCCATTGTCCTATCGTTCTACAGTTAGGAAGTTTTTCCTGAGATTTAATCTAAATCTGCTCTGCTGTAGTTTGAACCCATTGCCTCTTGTCCTGCCCTCTGTGGCAAGAGAGAACAACTTTTCGCCATCTTTTTTGGCAGCCTTTCAAGTATCTGAAGACCATTATCATACCCCCCTTAATCTCCTCTTTTCCAAACTAAACATACCTAGTTCCTTCAGCCTTTGCTCACATGGCTTGCATTCCATCCCTTTGATCATCTTTGTCACTCACCTCTGGATCCTTTCCAGTTTCTCTACATCCTTTCTATACATTGGTGACCTGGACACACTACTCCAGCTGAGGCCTAACCAGCACCAAGTAGAGCGGTACTATTGCATCCCATGACTTGCATCCTATGCCTCTGTTAATGCCACCTAAAATTGCATTTGCTTCTTTTGCAACGGCATTGCATTGCTGACTCATGTTGAAGCTGTGATCCACCACAACTCCCAGATCCTTCTCAGCAGTGCTGCTGCCAAGCCAGTTTCCCCCCATTCTGTATTTGTGCTTTTGGTTTTTCTTCCCTAAGTGTAGCATCTTACGTTTGTCTTTGTTGCATTTCATTTTGTTGTCCATAGCCCTGTTCCCCAAATTGTCCAGATCCCTCGGAATTTTAGCTCAATGCACTATTGGCAACACCTCCTAGCTTTCTGTCAGCTGCAAACTTGATCAGTATGCTCTTCTACACCTATAGCCAGGTCATTCGTAAAGATGTTAAACAACACTGGACCCAGAACAGATCCCTGTGGAACTCCACGTGAGACCTCCCTCCAATCTGACATCACTCCATTAATCTTTTCTAATATTTAAAATAAATCAAGCAAGATTTTATGAAATCCTAGTTTACTATAATAACCATGGATCTTTAAACACTTTACAAAAGAGGTCAGGATACCCCCATTTTACAGATGGGGAACCTGAGGCACAGAAAGGAGAAGCGACTTGGTCAAGGATAACCAGCATGCTAGTGGCACAACTGGGAATAGATTCCAGGCCTCCTAAATCACAGTCCAATTTGTCAACTAGGCCAAAATGGACTAGCCCTGCTTAGTTAAGATTAAATAAACAGTTACTATAAAGGAACACAATTTCCTTGTATTTTTTGTCATTTTGCTTTAACAGCTAATATTTGGCCTTTGCTGATTCCCGCCCAGTCTCCTTGGCTCCTGGATTCATCTCCCAGTGAAACAAATGGCTTCCTACAGTTAGCATTTGTCCCTTGGTCCCCCAATATTACTATCTGAAAAAAAGAAAAATCCAAGAGAAACCCCATATGGAGGCCAGCGATGGTTTCTTGTTCCACATGTCATTTGTGTGGAAGCATGTGATTAACCACAGGTTGGGTTAGATGCACACAAATAAACCAAACCACTTGTAAATGTTTTTAACAAAGTCAATGTAGTGCTGAGGGAAGGTGCCAGGCTGACAGCCCTGGGGCCTGAGGTGCCCCATCGTGACAGGTATTTCCACCCTGGAGTGAGAAGGTTGGCCCAGCTCCATGTCCTTTCAAACTGTGGGCCCTCACTGAGGATGTCAGCAAGGGTGCCAACTGCAGTGTTGCTGATTCTTGTGCACCAGGTACTGTTTCACACAGCATCATTGTTCAAGCTGTCAGGTGGTAATGACTTTCTGGTTACCGCCTGTAGTCAATGCAGCTATTCACACAGGAAAGGGCTAATGGATCAGGTCTCTGATCTGGATTCAAGCTAGCGACCTAGAGGCGATTAAAGGCTCCATATCCCATACCAATCCTCGGAGATCAAACCAATACCAAGATGTTTGAGGCAACCAGCAGAGGTAATGGAGAAGAAAAGCAACAAATAGTGGTAGGGGAGAACAGGGAGGAAGAAAGAATGTCAGAGGGAGCTGGTGATTCTGTCAGGGAGGGCCAGGGAACAGAAAAAGAGGACTAAACATTTACAGTCCCAAACACAAGATTTCCAGCTTGAGGCCAAATCCAAAGCTAAGGTTCTGTGCAAGTCCATCAATCATTACAGCCATGGGAAGTTGCATCACTTCAAGAAGCAAGACTTTAAATCACAAAAGAGGGCAGTCTGGTGCAAATCAATAAAGGCCTTTAGATTACACCTTTATATGGTGCTATCTATGAGCATTAACTCAGCCGCATACCAGCGTAGTCAGTAATGCTGCCAATGCTGTTGCACCAACGGGATTCTCTTTTTATCAGCAAAGGCAGCCACAAGTAGAGCAGACACGCTGTCGCCGTTTGCCACTGTTACAACCATCAAGTCAAAAAAAGGCTTAGTTTTGGGTTGCACTGAATATGAAATGTCAACAAAATTTCAAGTTGGGTCAAATGAAGGCGGAGGAGCAGTGGTGGCTAGGGCACTCTTCTAGTATGTGGAAGCCCCAAATTCAGTTCCTGCCTCTAGCTGATCTGGAGAAGGAATTGGGACTTGGGTTTTGCAGGTCATGCTAACCACTGAGCTGTGGGGCTTTCTCAGTCTCTTCGGTTGAAGCTTTCCTACTTTTTATAAATAAATCATTGGAACAGGGATCAATATCAAATAGTTTCAGTCAACCTGAAACTGCATTTTTTTGGGGCAAATAAACTATTCACCAAAAGAATTTCACTCAGCTCTAGCGATCTCCCAGAGGAGGAGTGTGAGTCAGGGCTGGGAACCAAAACAATACTGTCAACCTCTGAAACGGGCGTGGGGGGACATAAATCGCTGCGGTCCTGGACAAATCTCAGCATTGGCACTTGGATGAATTCCCAGAACACACATAGGGTGTGTGGCTAGCAGGGAACAAACAGCCATGCTCGAAGGATGGCCATTGTGCCTAGCCCTTGCAGGGGGCTGCTGAGTTGAACTACAGGCAGAATTTAATCCTTAACTTTTAAACAGAATGATGGGACTGGCATAAACTGACCAGCAACGGAACCTCTTTATCACTGTGTGTGACTGACAGATTCAAACATAACCGTCCCTTGCAAGGTAAAAAAAGTCATGTTCTGAGTAATGTGATTCTCAATATAATTCTAACAGGACATCAATTCTAGCTACAGACATACAGCAAAACAGGAGCGTATTTCTTCTCTTCTAACGCACAAAAGCAAACGTGAAACCAAGGTCCAAACTGTAAACATTAGAAGTGTTTTCAAGAGGACACTTAACTGTTGGAAATGGATTGTTAGACATTATGGGAGCCTCATGTATTGATCCTAAAACTCCAGGAAGGCCATTAGCGGTGAACAATTGTTGATAATTCCAACATCAAGGCAGCCTTATACAATTTGCGGATGAACAAAGGTCACTTGTTATCACTGACTATTTTGCTAATTCTACCATCAGTACTGCTTGCTCTCTAAAATACAGTTAAGGCAAAGACAAATGCAGGTAGCTTTGAATCACAGTCAATGAAAATGGAAAAATAGAGTGTCTGAGGGGGCAGGCTGGGGGAGAAAATGCGTGGAAGGAAAACTGGTTCATGCAAAAAAACATTACTGCAAATCAAGCCATCCAACTGCAAAATGGCATCACCCCCTAGAAACCTCTCCTTGGGGAAAATATCTGCATTTCCAAACATGACTAGTGATTTTGGGTTCAACTTGAGGCACCATAATGGAGCCTGATTTTCAGACCGTGCCAAGCACCCAGCCCCTGCAAATTAGGCCCCTTTACGACATCACAAGTGGAACACCCAAAAAACACTAGTCACTTCTGAAAATTGAAAGCAGCCGGTTTGAATACACAACCGTGCTCTGTGACTGTAGAGGGAAGAACTCAGAGTACCCAAACTTTTCTGCATTTATATCTTTGTAAGGCACTCAGATGCAACTGAGGTGTGCCGGGCCTAAGGATGAGGGTTAGCTGGAGAGACAGATCGCGAGAATTAACATTATTCCTTACTTGGTCTGCTGTTCCTTGCGTTTCTGGGTTAGGTATTTCTTCTTCACATTCAGGAGCTCATTGCCCAGTCTCTCTATTTCATACTTGTACTCTTGACTCTGTGACTCATACATGTTCAGTTCTGAAGACAAAACCTAACCAACCAAAAGCAAAAAGTGAGCGTCACAGCTTCACAGGTTACGTCTGTCACACACTCCCTTCTCCCCTATCAGATAAAATCTCTGCCCACCTGAAGGCAGTTTACAGAGTTAAAGCTACACCGCGTACCTCACCAAGCATCTTTTGAGTGACACTAACAACATTTACTGTAGTTCTCTACCTTCCTGGACCCAAATGTGAACCAAAGACCCAAAACAAGGAGCATAGACAAATAATTAAGCAGGGAGTTTTAAAATGGCATAGGATCCACCTCTTTACCAAAAGTTATATTTTCCTAGCATTTCAGTGTCTTGATTATTCATTTCTGATGTAAATAATTTACAGCAGTGAAAGTAAGGCAAAGGCATATTTGGGCGGGGGTTGGAGAAAACTGTGGCTTTTAAAATGAAAGTTGTCCAGTTTAATGAGGGAGAGCTGAGGGATATAATGTGAGCCGGACATTTCAAAATGCCTTTCAATGCTTGCAGCTAGAGTTGTGCTTTCTATCTTTACTAATCAGGAGAGAGTTGGCCGGGGTCTAGATTTCCAGGGAGTAGAGCAAATGTTACTCTGGAATCTTTCTGCCATCTGCCTATACCATTACGTCATTAATGTTTCTAACTGAAGGACGATTTTAGACAGTTGAAAAGTCATCCTCTTCTACTAGCATTAATGTCCTTCTGTTGTGCACCCTTTCAAGACATTCATAAATACCTGTTTCATGCAGACATTACAAGACCTGCCTCATCACAAGCGAATAGGAACTTTAATATTGCATTTTTGTTCAAGAGGGCCCACTGTATTATAGAATATAATTAACTCCACATAAGCAATATGGCATCATGCAATACAATTATTGGCATGATCCTGATCCCATTTAAATCAATTAATTTGGAAATAGGGTCATGCCAAATGCACTTTCCTGCTGCAGGAAGAAGAATATTGAGACTAGTCAAAGTTTGGAGAGAGTCAGGTATTTTCTATGATGCAACTTTGTTTATTTACAAGAAACATATAAAGTCCTGCTTCTCCAAATGCAGGAGGAACCAAGAACAATAGGAGCAGTTTCTTAGCTTATAACTAAGGCTACGATTTAGTCATGGAGGTCACAGCAGTCACGGATTCCGTGACTTTACCGGACCTCTGTGACTTCTTCCACCTTTAGCTGTCAGCAGCTAAAGCGGAGGCTGGAGGTTGCCCTGCTGCAACAGCTTACAACTGCAAACTGGAGAGCTGGAATCAGGACCCTGCAGCCCCTGCCCTGTGGTTTGCAAGGGGTGGGGGGACTACAGCCTGGCCGTGTGCCCCAGCCCCGCGTTTTCTGCCGGGAGCTGCAGCCGGGGTCACGCGCCCCAGCCCTGTGGTGGGAGCTGCATCGGGGGCTGTGCACCCCTGCCCCACAGCATCCCTGGGCCATGTGCCCCCTCTTGGCTGTGCCCCCTGCTGCGGCCGCTGGAGCCGGGGGTCTTGGCCTGTCAGTCCCCCCCTCACCCATGGGACTCCATTCCTCCCCCTATTTAGCCCTGTCCCCAGTTATTTTTAGTAAGTCACGGACAGGTCACAGGCTCCATGAATTTTTATTTATTGCCCGTGACCTGTCTGTGACTTTTACTAAAAATAACAGTGACCAAATATTTGCCTTACTTATAACCCCAAGCCTCCTTAGTCCACAGACCCAAACATTCTCTCTCTCATTTTTTCCAGGGTCACCCTGTGCTCATCAGCTACTGTTTGGCTTTCTTGTTTTTTGCCTCTGCCTCGCTCACTTTCTGTCCCCAGTCTCTCCCAGTTGTTTGATTGTTCTTCACACACATACACGGACACACCCCTACCCAAAACAACACTCAGCAAAAGCCCGTGGCTGGGTTCACATACTCCTTTTGTCTTAAGTGGGGGCTAATCCTTACAATAATAACAACCACAGTATGCTTCGACAGCAGAGGACCATAGCGCTGAGGGTCCGTGAGCACTCTGTACAGCTTTATTCCAGGCATCTAAGAGTTCCACAGGGTTATTAATGATCTGGTGCAACCAGGTTAAACAAAGGCGACCACGTGGCCGCCACCAGTCCATGACCAGGCAGCATCCCCGCCTCATCTCCAGGCCAATCTTCAGAGTTTGATGTGCAGGGACTTTGTCTCAAAGGTGGGCAACATGACCAAAAAGGGCCAGTCAGCAGTGGCCAATGATGACTTCAGTCCTCTCTGGGCCAGTACTCAATGATACATCCCTATTACTGATAAAGTCAAACCATCTTATACCCAGTAGTCATTGCTGACAATGCATATGAAATGCCGCCAACTTCCTGATGTTTTGTGTAAGCAACGTCCATGTTTCAGATCCATCTAAGAGAATCTGAAGTGTGCAGGCTTCATAAATCCATATTTTTGTATATAGTTTCAACTTTTGTTCGCTCCAGGCCCTATGCAGGTCCTTCATGGCTGAGGCTGCTAAACCAATTCTCCTTAGGATGTCTGGTGGGCTGTGTCTTTTTGAAGACAGTTTACTGCCTAGGTAGATGAAGTTATCCACTACTTCCATGGGTTTGTCCAGAAGCAGAGATGTCTTGTACTGCAACTTTTGTGCCGACACTCTGGATTTTTGCTTTTGCCCAAGAAATCCTTGGCCCAAGAGCAGGTGCCTCATGCTGGAAGCTCTCTAGTGTAGCTTTAAGATTGTTTGCATCCTGACCAAAGAGGACAACATCATCCGTATAATCCAGGTTGGTAAAAGAAGTTAAATTGACAGTTATACCAATATTTGTGGAGATATGTTCAAGGAAGCAATCTATTGTGCAACAGAACAGGGCTGCGGCCAGGACATATCCCTACTTCACCCCAGATCTAGTGTGAATTCTGTGAGGCCTGTGGGTCCCTCAATGCACCCATGCCTCTGAGTCATTATGTAGGTCTTGAATTAGCCTCAGGAGGATGTCAGGGACACTGATGCCTCGCAGGTTTTTCCACAAGGCAGCTCTAACCTTACAGTTACATAAACCTAAGGAAAAAGAACAGGAGTACTTGTGGCACCTTAGAGACTAACAAATTTATT